GATAGTACCTGATGCTGTTCCGGAGATCTGCCGATCCCCGTGCTGAAAGCATTGCTGTGTCCTGCTCAGTGAAGAGCTCTGGGAACTGCATTTAGAAGAATTTAGGACATAAAGTAGCTGGCAGGCACGGGCTGGCAGTGGTAATGCTCAGCTGTTGGGTTTGTTCTGATTTAGATGGAAGATGAAACTGCTGGTACAGACCTCGCTCACCCCCGCTGCAGATGTGGGGACGATTAATTGGTGTGTTTCTCTCGTGCCTTATATGCATGAGTAGCCCAGCCCCTGGCCAGGGAAAAGCTGAGTTAATGAGCATTTTTTAATGAACAGTGACTTGTGACTTCTGATGGGGGGTGGAAACAGGCTGTAATAATGGTGCTATTGCTTTTATAAAAGGCACAGGACTCCACAAGATTGCTTTTCTTCAGACTTACGGTGTTTGTATTAATAATTTTTAAGTGTAGTTTTCTGGATCAGACTTTTTATTAGTGCCTTAAAATCCACATTAGCTCAATTACCTTCTTTTTCCATATTCACTCTCAAACAAGAGGCTTTTTCTGAAAGGTGGCCTGTGCAGTAGGAGTTAGGTAGATCAATATGCACATATTTTTTCCTTCAGAAACCGATGACTACAGGACTGCCAATTTCAGTATTTTTTGTTGAATTTCAGCCTGAATTCAGGCTAACCCTGAAATTAATCCTTATCCACCCAGGGGATTTCTCACTGACTCCATATCAATATTTTTTCCTTCTTCCCAGTGATTCCAGCGTTAGTCAGTTGGGATACTTGAGGCAGGAATTTTGGAGCTGTGTCTGCAGCTGCTGTTGGATACAGAGGCAGTGCCACACGGTCTAGGAGAAAAAGGGTCATTTTTTGTGACTGGTGCAAAATAAAGCAAAAGGTGCTTCTTGGAGAGCATTTTGTTGGGGGGGAACATGACAGAGAAGAGCAGATTGGGACTGAACACGTAATCTTCAGCTAAATTGAGGGTTTTGGGAGGGCTCTTTCTGTAAAGCCTGTAGAGAAACTGCTGAAATTGAGATTTTTATGCAAAAGATGGACACAGCTGTTTTTGGCTTGTCCCAAACCTAGTGCTCTCATTAGGGCAGGAATCCTGGAGGCCTCTTTGTATTTTGTTTAATGTTAATGAAAATTTAACCACGAACAGCTTTAAAAGCAGTGGATTTTAAAGCCTTAATGTGAAATGCACTTAAAAGATATTACATTAGTGCTGAGGTGAGGCAGGGAAGTCTGTCTCATTCCATGATAAAAATAGCTCCAGCGGTGAGACGTGCAGGAATGTGACCAGAGGAATTGGTTGCCACAGGATTAGCGGGAGTGTGAACTTGCAGCTCACCAGTTTATTGGGGTAATTGCTCATAGGCACAGCTTTGTCATATAACAAACGTGAAATAATTACTTTTCAATAAAAGTATTCTGCCTTGCATTCACCACTAGGGAGCTGCCCGGAGCTCATCCCATTGTTTTCCTAATGAAGCTTCTTCATCCGCCATTGCCTCATTATTTTATTATGTCCTGATCTGGAATTCTTGCACACAAGTGATGATATTCTAATACCAGCATTTTCTTTCGGACTATTCTTGCAGGTTTTCCATGCACCAGAACTAATTGTTCTTTACTGGTTTGTAGCATATTTATATGGCATATTCAGACTCCTGCTCACCCCATAATGCCTTTATCCTATAATATTTTACTACCTTAATTATTAAAGTCATGGAATCTTGCCTATAGAACTACCAGCAAAGCACATTTTAAGCAGCACGTTGGGGCACTCAGAAATACATCACCTTCAGGCCTGAGTAGCACGGCTGAGTTAGTCTGTAGTAAAAGGAGCATCATCTCAACCTGCATGCAGACCAGGCCCTGTTTGAAATGGTGGTTGGGTTCAGGAAATCCCATCCAAGGGATTTAAAAGATGGTTTGCCTTCGGTAGGATGCCAGATTTGTTGTTGGGGTGTCGTTTAAGTTTAACTGAGGGGTTATTTTCTCTCGTCAGAGGAAGGAGTTCTTCCAAATTTGGGATTAGTGGTGTGTGTCTAACTAAAAGGTGCAGCCTGTTCAAACATCCGTGTTTTAGCTGCTTCCTTAAAGTTTCCATCACAATTTCTGTAGAACAAAAAAACAGATGCTTGTATAAGAGAATATTTAGTATGTCTGTTCAGTATTTGTATTTACCACCTAATTTTCTGATTTACCTATGGAGATGTAAACCAGGATGGGAAGTTTTGATGGCAAAGCTGTCTTAAAGTATCTACTTAACTTTTTGTCTGAAAATAGAATGTGACAATGGCTATAAGTGTAATATAAACCATAACACAGACAGGTTCCTTTGTCCTTTTCTTCTTCTCTAGTTCATGGTGGGTTGCCAGGGTCATCTCTTGGGGAAGGAATAGACCTTGATGAGTGTGGGCAATGCTAAAAATAAAGGTTGGGAGTTCATGAAGGCCTTGGCTGTTGAGGCAAGGCAGTGCTGGCAGATGCCATTTGGAGGCTCTTCTCTCCGTTAGGAGCGCAGCAGCTCACTCAAAAGGGCAGATATGAACCACCTGCCTGCAGGGGCAGGTACAGGGATGTGAACAGAAAGGATGTTTGGGTTAATATTTCCTTTGATTAAGAGAAAGGGATGATATGTGCCAGAGTCTGGACAGCACAGGGAGTACGAGTATAATCGGCGCCGTGGTACGTGCTGTGCTAGAGATGTAAGACAAACTGCTCTTAAAGCTTCTTATTTCACAAAAGATATTTTTAATATTTCTATAATTACCCTTCCTTCTGGTTTCCATCCTATTTTCCATTTTCTGACCTTTTCTTTCTGAAAGTGAGAGCTCTTAGAGGAGAGCTGCTCTCCCTCACCTGTGACGACTGGAAGCTGCAGGATGCAAAGAGAGAGGTGGCTGGTACTCATGTATCCAAGAGTCTTTTGGAGGCAATTTGCTTAAGAGAATGAGAGGTGGATTTTCAAGAGGAAAGGCTGTTTGCCTGGGAGCAGCAAGCTCTTTGCTGGAGCATTAGATTTCTTTGGGTCAGAGGGCCAGATGTGGGGCTGGAGCGCTCTTGGGCTCTGGAGGAACTGGATGCCACATTCCCTGTTCTCTCAGCACAGCAGCAGGAGCCACGGGGATGCTGAAAATTGTAGCAAAAAGGATGGGCGTTTTTTCCCAGTAAATTGTTTACAAGGTGAGGGGGTAAAAAAGTCAAGCAAAAGCAAAGTGGGATTGTCAAAGCTGCAAGCCATTATTTGAAGATTATAAAATCAGCAGTAGTCCCATAGGAGTTAGGCAGTGCAGCTGTGGTAAGAAACAGCCCAACTCTCTGCTTGGCATATGATTATGGCAGAAGAGGCACAAGCATTTCCCTAGATATCTGAAGTTCTTTGCAGAAGCAGTTTAAGCTTGTGTCCCAGGTAGGTGTCTGGTAAATCAGAGGAAGTGAAACCACACCTCTGTCTCCAGAAGCCTCTTGTCTGTGTCTGGGGAGTAGCATGTGTTTAATCTTGTGAGGTAATTGCATTTTGCCATGTGATATGGGCACGTGCTTAGCAAGGTGCCACCCTGAAAAGTCAGCTGAAGAAATAATTGCAAGCCATAAATTAATGAACCTCCTTCCATTTGCTGAGCTTGGACCAACAAGGGCTTCCTAATGGACAGCAAGACACTCAAAGTGCTTTCCAATATCAGCACCTAGGAAAGGACTCAGGTGTAAATGGAGGCTTCAGCTGAAGCTTTGATGTGTGTTGAGTTTGCAGGGCAAGATTTTGGTGATAGGAAACTGCAGGAGTGGCTTCTGTGAGAAGCTGCTTAGAAAATTCCCCCATGTCCAATGGAGCCAGTGCCAGCTGGCTCCAGGACAGACCTGCTGCTGGCCAAGGCTCTGGGATAACAGATTTAAGAAGGGAGAAAAACCCACACAACTGCAGCTGGAGAGACAAGTGAGAATATGTGAGAGGAACAGCTCTGCAGACCCCCAGGGCACTGAAGAAGGAGGGGGAGGAGGTGCTCCAGGTGCAGGAGCAGAGATTCCCATGCAGCCTGTGGGGAAGACCATGGTGAGGCACCTCTGCCCCTGCAGCCCATGGAGGTTCACAGGGGAGCAGAGGTCCATCTGCAGCCCATGGAAGACCCCATGCTGGAGTAGGTGGATGCCTGAAGGAGGCTGTAACCCCATGGGAAGCCCATGCTGGAGCCTCCATTCCCTGTCTCCCTGCACTGCAGAGATGGAGAAAGTCAGGAGTGAAGTTGAGCCCAGAAAGAAGGGGGGGGTGGAGGGAAGGGGTTTTAGGATTTGGTTTTATTTCTCATTACCGTACTCTTACTTGATTGGTAATAAACTAATTCTCCCCAAGTCAAGTCTGTTTTGCTCATGACAGTAGTTGGTGAGTGATCTCTCCCTGTCTTTGTCCTGACCCACAAGCCTTTTGCTGTGTTTCCTCTTCCCTGCCCAGCTGAGGAAGGGAGTGAAAGAACGGCTTTGGGGGGCACCTGGTGCCCAGCCAGGGTCGGCCAAGCACAGTCTGGTTCTCACCTCAGGATTACAGGGAGTTCATGTTTAATTCGTAACTTTTTGATTTTGAATCACACAGTAAAAATACTGAGAATGGCTTGAAGAGCCGTGGGGAGGCAGCCTTAAATTAAGGGAATAGAAACCAGCCCACCACCACAAGCTGTGAGAAATATTTCATCTGGATACAATCTGATGTTTATAGCATGTACCTGTTTTTGTCCAACTGTACACATACTCTGATGAGAACATTGGTTTTTGTTTTGCTCCCCTGGGCAGGTCTTGCCTTAAGCTGAACTGGGGCTTGTGTTGGTCACCAGGTAATAAAGGGAATGAGGTATCTGGTACGCGACCCGCTGGTCTGGGAAGATGAAGTTTTCTTGCCTCTTGATTCCTTGGAGATTTTCTGCCCTTGTTGTGTGACTGTCTTGCCCTGGGGTTGATCCCTTGCTTACCAGAATTGACGAATTTCCTTTCTCCACAGGGGACACTACACAGAAAATGAGATCTGCACAGTATCCTACCCCAGCAGAATTGGATGCTTATGCTAAGAAGGTCGCCAACAATCCACTGACTATAAAAATTTTTCCAAACAGCGTCAAGGTTCCCCAGAGGAAACACATACGCCGTACTGTGAACGGACTTGATACTTCGGGCCAGAGGTACAGTCCCTACCCATCTCAGGCCACCACGAAAACGGGCCTCCTGGCCATAGTCAAATCTCCAGCAAAAGGAATTATCAAAGACTTTGACGGGACACGCACGCGCCTGCTGCCGGAAGCGATGATGAACCCCCCTTCCACGCCCTACGTTGCACCAAGCACTTTAACCCACCCCCAGGCGCTTGCTCGCCAGCAGGCTCTCCAGCATGCACAGACTTTGCCGCACCCCCAGGGCATCCCGCAGCACCCTCAGGGTATTCCACAGCCACAAAGCTTACCGCACCCTCAGGGGATCCCGCAGGCGCTGCCGCACCCGCAGAACATGCAGCAGCCACAGGGCTTGCAGCACCCTCAGACCATGGCACACCAGACTCTGCAGCACCCCCCGAATCCTCTGCTGCAGCCGGGTTTACATGGAAGCAGAAAGATGCCGGATGCAGATGCGCCGCCGAATGTGACCGTGTCTACCTCAACCATTCCCCTCTCTATGGCTGCCACCCTGCAGCAGAACCAGCCACCGGACCTGAGCAGCATTGTGCACCAGATTAACCAGTTCTGCCAGGCCAGAGCTGGCATTAGCACTACCTCAGTGTGTGAGGGACAGATTGCAAACCCCAGCCCTATAAGTCGCAACCTGCTTATCAATGCAAGTACCAGGGTATCTACTCACAATGTCCCTACACCCATGCCTTCCTGTGTAGTAAACCCTGTCGATCATGCTGCTGCTGCTATTCCTCCTGCCTCTGTTAATGTGCCCATGGTGAATATTAACAGGGTGCCGCCCGCCTACCAGAACGAAATCAAATCGGTTGCGTGGAACCAGCACCAGCTTGCACATCTGCAGCAAATGTGTGGGGATGCTGCTGGGCCTGCTGGACTCGCAGGGAAGCACCCTCAGAGAGAGATCGCAGGGCAGAGTTTTCCTGGCAAAACTTCCAACTACCCTCAAGAACTGTGCATGGGCCAGTCCTTCAGCTTGAAACCCCCCATCGAGAAGCCTACACCTTCTCCGCCTGTGAACGGGTTGCAGGGACCCTTGCCATACACCAATGGGCACTATTTCCAGCCCATCTGGAATAACATTCTGCCCACGCCCAACAGTGACAGCTCTGGGTCCCAGGACCTCGCCATGCCTTTCCACGGGGGACAGCCAGCGGGAGCACCGCTGGATTGTGCAGGAGGAACTCATTACAGAGCTGGAGCTGGCCCATCCAGCCAGAATAATGTGATGCAGACCATGGATTACCTAAGCGGGGACTTCCAGCAGTCCTGCTTCCGAGACCAGAGCATGGCCGTGCTGGGAAAAGTCCATCGGCCTCCCATGAACCGAGCACCTGAACCAACCGATAGTCGAAATCTTCATATTCAACACCCAGGGTATAGATAGGCTGCAGTCACTTTCACAGACAAAAATTATAGGTTTTAGTCTTAATTTTAATTAATAAGCAAGGCGTTTTTAACTTGCAAACTTGTGTGATCATTATAGTAACCATTGGAAGAAGACATACTGTATATTTAAGAGCTTTGCTTACATGTTATCTCTCTCTCTCCTTTATGCATCAAATATTTAACATGCCTTTTGTGTCAAAGAATTTCATTACACTACTTCACGTCACAGCTGTTTTCTCACCGCAGAATCCCCTTTGTGCAGCTTTTGCCTTCTGCTGAGCAGCTCCTCGCTGGACTGAGGTTGAGTTGCTGCAGGGTTTCGCAGTTGCATCTGTTCACCAGCTCCAGTGAGAGCAAGGTAGTGTAGCTGCTTCCATTTCCATCTCAATTTCCTCCAAGATTAAGAGCAACAGAATTTTGTCAGGGAGCAGGGCTTATTTTCAACTCGAAAGCCCATTTCATTAATGCATTAAACATTGACCATTTGCACTGTCTAGAGGCCTGTGTAATTGAAAAAGAGCCTACATCTGAAAAGAGCCAGCTAGGGGTATGTACTTAGGCATTAATATAGGAAGAAGCTTTCCAGCTGTTTCTTGCCCATGTTTATCATTTAGACTTTGTCCAAAGTCAAAAGTCTCTGGCAGATTTTTCTGACACTTTTGTTTTCTGGACAGGGTGTGGAGGAGGGGGATGATGAGTTAAGGACACAGGCAGCAAGGCTGCCACAGGGAGCTGCCTTTCTTTTGCGTCGTGTTTCCCCTCCCCACTCCCCTTCTCCAGTGTCAAAGCTAACCTTGTCTGAACCCCTCGCTGCTAGGAGTCTGGCTGTCCTGATGTGAAGGGAGTCCAGACCCACTGACAACTCCAAAAAGGGTTCAGCCATTTCTCTGGGAGCTGGAATTAATGTCAGGGTGAGGAGATGCAGCTCCATCCTGTCCCCATTGCGGCAGCGGGATGGGAGGTGGTTGATTTTGAAGCAAAGCTCCTCTCACGAGCCACTGTGGGACCAACAGTCCCATGTTCCTCTCCATCAGAACACCCCAGCGGATTTAATGGAACAATTTTCCTCTCTGGGAATTAGCGAAGCTATTTTTAACATCCCTTTTTCCCAGGGTCTCGGTGCCTAACTCCTTCTGTTCCTTTCCCACGTCACTTCCAGCAGCTGGTCGAGTGACTGTAGGACACTAACTACTGGGTAACCTCAGCATTGTGTTCTCCTCAGTGTACCAAAACATCCCTTTCCTTTCTAACAGCTGAATTTATTGTAAGTAGAAAATTCCTCATCTCTGTTAACGAGACTAATACTTGAACATAATGATCACAGTCAAGTTTGGAAATTAAAACAAAAAAAGAAAAAATTAAAAAAAAAAAAAAGCATTGATTCTTTCTATGTACACTGGCTAAAAATATTGCTCTACACTGTAACTTTTAAGTGTAATATTTCTGTATGAATGTCGCCTGGTAGTGTGGGTTTGAGTAGCATTGTGTATGGGTGAACCCACTGGCCTCTGCCATCCACTGGCCTCCCTCACAGCCCTTGGAAAAACAAAGCCTTAAGTATTTGCTCCTTGAACTTTCCTTAACGAGCATGGTTTAAAAATCTTAAAAAGACATCATACAAAATTTAAAAAAAAAAAAAAATTAAAAAAAATAACAAGTTTTGAAGTGACGTCATAGTTGGCTAGAGATTCTTAAAAGTTTTTCGTAAATGGGAAAATTAGAAAACATTTATTTGTATTTTTTTAATTTAGACGTGTAGTCCTGGGCTGTAACAAATATTTAGGTTTCAAAGCTTAGCAGAGTACGTTTCTGACTCCTTGCGTAAGTTAGTACACTTATATCATGTCATTATTTAAATTCTTTTAAGTGTACTATAACCCGTTCTTTAGTGGTAACTCCTTAGCAAAGTTAAGCAATTTGACTAAAGACGGATTAAATTATGTGTTGGCTTGTGTTGCCTTATATTTAAAAAGGAAAAATTGCCTGATTGTGTTATGCCAAATGATAGCAACATGAAGTCCTAATTTATTGTTTATAATCGTATTCCTGCAGTCTTTGTGAAAACTGGTAAATATACATCTATGAAAGAAAGAAAATCCTGAGGCTTTTCATGCAATATTTTTCTGAATCCATTCTGTTGGAGCCAGAGTTTGAGTCTGAAGCTGCTTCCCTTACAGTCACCCTGTCGTCTTCCCCGTCCCTTCCCCAAACCCAGCGAGGGCTGTGCTCTGACCTCACCCCTCCCTGCCCAGTCAGTCCCTGTAAGGTGTTCTGCTACCTGAGTACGTACCTTTTTACTAAATAAAACCTTGGCATCTCCTCTGTTCTGTAGCCTGCTCCAAATCTCAACCCAGACTGTTATTAAAGGCTAATTTTTAACTCCTGCTCTTCTCCCGAGAGCCTGAGCAGAGTCCTGTGCTGTGGTGGTGGTGGTTGCGGTGCCCGGGAAGTGTTTGTTGGTGTTGGCAGCACATTGTGAGTTTTTGGGGACTGTTCTGCACGGGCAGTCACAGGTACAGCCACGACCTCCGAGGCTTTGCCCCGGTGCAGCAGGACCGGGAAGCAAAAATCCTGCTGAGACTCATCCAGGTGGGACATTGCTTGAAAAATAAGAATCATTTTACTATTAAAATATACTGAAACCTTTCCTATTGGTCTGGGAGTGAGATTTTTCTTTAAACCAACCCTTTTCACCTCTGCAGCAGCCCTTGTTGCTGATGGACTCTCCGTCCTCCTCCTTCCCCACTGCATCCCTAAGGAGAAACAAACACTGACCTGCCTCATTCCCGGGTACAACATTGGGAGCAAAGGGAGATGTGCTGGGGGGGGTCTGACCGTGTCACTGGCACTCACCAGGGTCAGGAAGGGATGAGCAGAGGCCGGTGGTGCCGTGTGTGGTAAAAGCTTTGCCATGCTCTCCTGAAGTGGAGAAACCTCCCATGGTTTTATTTCACGCTGTGCCCAGAGCAGAACTAAGAGTAACCAAAAGGCCAGGGGTGCACCTTCCCCTGGGCTCTCCCGGGACCCCCATGCTGGTGGTCACCAACCTTTGGGGCTCACACTGCTGCTCCACTTGTCCATCTGTCCATCCATGGGTGCCTTCCCGACCTCTGGCTCCAGCACAAGGCTCTGTGCCCTGCTGGATCCTGGGTGCTTGCAGACAGTGGCTCTGCTCCCCGAGGAATGAGAAGGCTCAGGTGTTTCCTGAGATATTCACCCTCCCTCAGCACTGACACCTCTCCTTCCCAGTCCACACTGATTCGGAATATTGAGGTGCACATCAGATAGATCCTAGGAGGGATAAACATGAACATGGTGTGAACCCTTCCACGGGGAATCTTCTGTCTCCACCATGTCCTGTGTTTCGAGCAGAAGCTTTGAAGCTGTTCACTCTCAAGCCCAGTTTGTTACAGCCCAAAGTTAACATTTTATAAAGACACTTGTGAATTTTCTTAAAGTCTTTCAATGTGGGATGTCTCCAGGGGCCTCGGCCGCTCCCGTGGAAACCAAACAGAGATGTTTCCTGGAGAGAACTGGGAATTGCTACTGTATTTCATTAAACCACAGACTGATGATAAATGCTGCTGCTTATGTGCTACGGGTATCAACTAGGAATTTTTTTATTATTATTTTGTCCACAGAAAAATAAATAAAAAAAAATAGAAAGACCTGGTCCCTCTGCCCCTTCTGCTGGTTTTGTGCAGTGGGAGTGTGTGGGGCTTGCATGGCCTTGGAGCCACAGGGTCCCAAAGGGAATTTGGGGAGGGATCTCCATGGGTTTCTTGGTTAGGAATGCATCAGGCAGAGCCTGGCTGCCCTATCTAATGAGAGCATCAGGAAGGTCTGTGAAAACAGAAGAGATGAAAGAATCTCAGAGCCAGAAAGGTGCTGAAATAATGATTAAAATAGAAGAGAAGGAGTGGAGGAGGGGGATTAAGTCCTTAAAAGGTGAGTTTAGACATTTTTGATGGCAGTGAGAGTTGAGGCTCTCTCATACCCTGAAGTTCTGCTTTTTTTTGGTGGTGGGAAAGGTCTTGTGTGGCTGCTCCAAAAGCTGGGCTAGAAGCGACTGCCCTGCCAAGTGTTGACCGAACAGTTTGTATAACAAACTCATTATTTATGTAATCCTAAATACAAAATTTTAAAGGGGGTTTGTAGCACTTGCAGATCCCTTCTGGAAAAGAGGCTGTGAGGGCTTTTTTTCCCCCTTTCCCATGATCATATATCTCATTTAATCTACACTTTCATCTCCCAGAAGGACACAACTCAAACCCCATCTCCTGCACTCGCCTCAAACCTGAGCATCAAAATCCCTCTGATGCCAAATTAGCACTTTTCCCACTGTTCCCAGTGTTCCCCACATACTATGGATATTTGGTTCCCACATGCTTTTTGCAGAATTTGGGCTAAACCTGTCAGCTCAGCCTAACTGATCTGGGAAGAGCTGTTTGCCCACAGATGCTGCCACATCCAGCTCCAGCATCCAGAAATGCTGAGAGCAGCTGCTCCATCCATTGGAGCTTCAGGATCTTCCTCTCTTTTGACTTGAAATTTCTTCAGTATCTGGTTTCTTCATCCATCCCCCTAACAGGAAGAATCTTTTCTGCGAGGAGTTTTTAGGAGACTTTCTCATCATCTCTGCAGCCAGTTGGACCTGTTGGCTGGAGCAAAAATCTGTGGACAATGAGCCAGCAGGGATTGGTGTGAGCAGCTGCTGCTTCCGCTGAGGATTCACCTACAGCCACAGCTGAGCTGGAGGCTTCAAGTAAGATCCAGCCTTTTAAAACTTCTTCTTCTTTAGGGCCAAATATTCCAAAAATTTTGACCCAAGTTGGGCAACACCCCGATGTTCTTTGCGAGCACCAGCAGCTGCATCATCTCGTGATGAGGCTGTTTAGAAAGGAACAATGCCGTGGATGCTGCAAAAAAGTCAGAGCTGGAAAATGTCCTGCTCAGTGTGGGGTTCTGGGGGGGTCCCAGGGGTGGAGGAGCCAAAGGAAAGGGTCATGTTGCTGTCAGCTCCTCAGGTCTGAGCTGGAGGAGCACGTGTTGGACCTATTCCAGCAAGAGCCGCCTTTCGGGTGCTCCTCAGTGCTCAGCAGAGCCAAATTGCAGTGAAATTACTGGAGTATTTTATCTGCTTAGTTTCAGTTAATTTCAAAGCAATTGGGTACAGCCCATTGACTCTGCTGGGGTGGCTGCAAGCCTGAGAAATGCACTGGCATTGAAGTGAAATAGCACCAAAAAACTGCTGTAAATCCTTGTAAACCTTCTCTGCACTCAAACCCCTCAGTCCTGGGGGGCAAAGGGCTGGGGAGGGAGAGGGCCTGGGTGGGTCTTTAATAAAGGAGGTGCAAAGCAAATCTGACTCACATTTTTGTCCCTATACAGTATCGACGTCTGGTTTTGGTGTCTTGATGAAGAGGCCTCAAGGATCAGCACAAATCGAGGCTCTATGGCGTGAGCAGATGAAGCGGTTTTGCCGAAAATCCTCCCTGTCTTCATCCCAAAGGTGTCAAAAGGATTTGATGGTTAGTTAGATAAGGGCATCTCCACTGTGGTTGGAGTCTTAGACAAGCAAAAGTCCAGCCCCTGTCCTCCAGGTGGGGTCTCCCTCAATATTTGGGGTATTTAATATGGTTTTCCTCTCTGGCTTGAGCATCTTTTGAAATACCTTCCGAATAAACCTTCAAACCAACAAGTTTCCAGGAAGTTTATTTTAAACTCGATACATGAGGCTAAATTTAGTAGCAAATCAATTTGTCTTCCTCTCCTCCTTGAGCATTAAGAGCATCTCCTCCTCCTGCTCTGCAGCCCAGGCTTTGATGGGGATTCGCTCCCCCATTCCCTGGGAACACGTGAAGGTTAAGAGGTGCTCGAAGATCCGGCTGACATTTCCAGACGTGCCCAGGTACATGGAGCTGGAGTGCGGTGCCCACCAGTGTCTGTGCCAGCGCTGCCAGAGCGGCACCCAACGGCAAATCCCACAGTTATGGCTGGAGATGGAAGGAAAAGGGAAAAATCAACCCCCCAAAAAAAGCGGAGGGTTGGAAGTAGGTCCATGAGGTGGGGATGGGGCCAGCCCCAAGCTCCTGGGTTTGGTTTTGTCCTCCTTGGCTTCCTGGCACAGGGCTTTCCCTGAGCTAATCCAGGAGCTGCTGCCCAGGCTTCCTCCAGCATTGCTTCCCATGGCAGATGGAACTTTTAGTTCCTAAATAATACATGGATTTTGATTTTATTTTATTTATTTTAAGGTAAATGGTGTGACACAAGGGGCTGCCAGTACCCTGCATGTGGCCTGGCAGGAGGGACAGGACAGACCCTGTAGTCTGTGTGTGCACATGTGGCTATGTATATATATATAAATGCACAAATAAAAATATATAAATAAAATAAACGTAATAAATACAAAATATAAAAATAGAAATATAAAATAAAAGAATAAAATTTATGAATAGGTATCAAAGATGAATAAAATGCATAATAAATGTAAAATATATGTAAATAGATAAAAATAAAATTTACATAATATAAAAGTTATATAATATTAAATTTATATAATATAAAAGTTATATAATAAATGCTGAAATATTCTATAATGCCATTGTAATTATATAGTTATATGTAATTTATTATATAATGTTAATATAATATATTAACATGGTATTATACAATATAATACATAAAGTATTAAAATTTTAAAATATTTTAAACGTATTATATATCAAATGTATATGTTAACTATGAAATAAAATATAAGCATAAAATACATAAGAAGAAAATGTATATGATTAATATACATTATAAGACTATAAATCTCTGTGTCATACCGATGCTCCCCTCCCCTTCCCTTCCCCTCGCTCATGGCTCAGTCCCCGCGGTGCAACCTCCGGTACCGGAGCGGCTCCTGCACTCACCGCGCGGCGGAGCCACCGAGCCGAGCACGGGGCACCGGGACGGGCTGGAACTGGGCACCACTATAGGCTGATACTAGGCACCAAGACGGGCTGGAACTGGGCACCAAGACAGGCTGGAACTGGGCACCGGGACGGACTGGAACTGGGCACCAGTATGGGCTGATACTGGGCACCAGGACGGGCTGGAACTGGACACAGGGATAGGCTGGCACTGGGCACCAGTTTGGGTTGGCACTGGGCAGTAACATAGAGATGGCACTGGGCACCAGTGCAGTCTGATACTGGGCACCAGTTTGGGCTGGCAGTGGGCACCAATGTGGGCTGATACTGGGCACCAGAAAGGGCTGGCATTGAGCACCAGTTCGGGCTGATGCCCAGTAGTGGACACTGATATAGGGATGGCACTGGGCACCACTACCAGCTGATACTGGGCACCAGAATGGGCTGGCGATGGACTGGCAATAGTCACCAGTTTGGTCTGGCACTGGGCACCAATACAGGCTAGCATGGGTCACCAGTACGGGCTGGCATGGGCCATCAGTTTGAGCTGGCACCAGACATCCATATGGGCAGGCACTGGGCACCAGTACAGGCTGATACTGGGCACCAGTTTCGGCACCATTATGAGAGAACTGTCCATCATTAGGGGTTGGCACTGGGCACCAGTTTGGGCTGGCACTGAGCACCAATACAGGCTGATTAGAGGCACCAGTTTGGGCACCAGTATGGG